TGGGAAGCCGTGCCTCTGAAAAAGACTTGGGGTCATGATAGATAATCAGCTGAACAGGAGCTCCCAATGTGATGCTGTTGCCAAAAGGGCTAATGTGAGCCTTGGATGCATAAAGAGGGGAATCTTGAGTAGGAGCAAAGAGGTTATTTTACCTCTGTGTTTGTCACTGATGCACCTGCTGCTGGAATGCTGTGTCCAGTTCTGGTGTCCAAGATTCAAGAAGAATGTTGATAAATTGGAGAGGATTCAGAGAAGAGCCACAACAATGATCCAAGGATTGGAAAACCTGCCTTATAGTAATAGATTCAAGGAGCTCAATCTATTTAGCTTAACAAAGAGAAGGTTAAGGGGTTATTTGATCACAGACTGTAAGTACCCACATGGGGAACACAATTTGATAATAGAGGGCTCTTCAAATTGGCAGACAAAGGTATGTAACACATAACACAAGAACCCGGAATCATTCAATGAAATGAATAGGCAGCAGGTTTGAAACAAACATAGGGAAGTACTTCTTCACACAACGCACAGTAAACCTATGGAACTCATTGCCAGGGGATGTTATGAAGGCCCAAAGTATAACTGGGTTCAAAAACAAACTAGATAATATCATAAATGGGGTATTGGTGCCTGCTGTTATTTGGGGGGATCCTGGCTACCTGTTGCTACCATGGCTCATGAAAGCCTACCCCAGCAACAAAGGACCTCGCAGGTTCAGTTCAGTTACATGTTCAGCAGGTGCAGGGTGACTGTGGAGTGTGCTTACAGAACAGTTTGGATGCCAATGTCGCCAACTCTGTCCATATGATTGTGGCCTGCTGTGCCCTCCACAACATCTGTGAGGCTACAGTGAACATTTTCATATGGAGTGGGCGCAAGACAATGCTGGTTTGCCGGCCAAGTACATAGAACCAGAAAGTGCACCTGTCCTTTCTGAGGCTGCTTCCTAGAGTGCAAGGGAAATAAGGGATGCACTGTGTGCCCACATGTTTGCAATCCAGGGTAAAGTTAATGACATTTGATGATGTAATGGGATCCGGAACTGTTTTGACTGTTAATAAATTCAAGTTTTTCCATTTACATATTACATCAATATATGCTTGAATTGGTTCGTGGTTGACACTCTAATGCTGGGGAGGGTGCATGCACCACACATCATGGGTTCATGAGTGGATGACCAAGCCATGTGCACTGTTTTGGTGGATAGATGGCACAGGTGCTCAGGCATGTAAGTAGTGAACAGAGATGGATGCATGCACCACACACATGGTTGTGTAGGTGTCTGGTAACTTACAGGGTCTCAGATGCAGCTGTATGTGTAATTTCCCTGAATGTGAAGCTGCACCACTTTATTATGATCCCACCAATGTCTCACTGTTCACTGCAGTAAAGCACAGGTGTGAAATACTTCCATCAGTGCCAAACTACAGCTTTAATAGCAAACAAACAAGGGGAAAACAAATACATTACTAAGTGTTCAGTAAAGCATAAGTGCACCATAACTTCCACCTGTGCAAAAAAACCCAAATAATAAATAACCAAATGATCTATATAAACATTAAACTGTGCACAGAACAACTTTTATAACTATCAAAGACAGGGAAAAAACAAATAAGAATTTTTTTTCAAAGGTACAAAGTAAACTCCCAACAGCCACTATCAATGATGATAGCCATTGTCTGTAGTGCTGTTTCTATTCTCTTTTCTTCCTGTTCACCTTGACCTCCTGCCACATGGTTGCACAAGAGTTCAGGTTTATACAGGAATGAAGTTGATGGAGTGGTCATGATTCTCCAATATCTGCACAACAGCAAACTAAATTCAATACAAAAATCAACCAAAGCAGCAGTGTTTTTTCTCCCCTAGTTATCACATAGCAATCAGCAGTCAGCACTGCATTCCAGCTTAAAACTCCCACCTCATCCCAGCTTTGACAAACACCGCAACTGGCATCTGAACCAGTGGATGTGCTTGTCACCAGGGCGGTTAATTACTGGCGAACTACACTATTATTGGATTCAGCTTCCCAAATTAACTTGATTCCTGGAGAACCCTGAGTGCTGAAGGGGAAGAGAACCATTTCCACAGGAGTAAAGTTGGTGGCCATTAATAATCAGCCCATGAAAATGGCAGGAGAAATACAACAGGTTCGGCATATTAAAGAACAGTTTGTAGCAACAATTATTTCTCATGATGTTGCTGTGGGAGCAGACTTCAGAGCCCAGCACAAGAGCCCCTGAGGTATTAATGACTCAAATCTTGTCTTGGACAACATATCCTATAGGATCTTGGTAGCTAGAGATGTGGATCCTGGGATGGGGGGACATCTCGTGAAGCCTTAGAAGTGCTCCTGCCATCCTAACAAGTGGACAGGGAATTCCTCCCTGTGGTGGTCTTGAGTAAATATGTAGCCAAATTATTAAGCACTAGTAGCTCTGTCAGTAAATAATGGCTGCAGTGGACCTGGACAAATGTTAAAGCTCTGAATTTTTAGGCCCATCTGCTACAGACAAGAGTTCTGTTTCAAGCAGCGTCATGGGAAGGGTTCTGGGGAAGAACAATAAGCTTGTCTGATAAAGCTGTTCAGCTGGTGAAAAAGCAGAACCTGGGGACAATGTCACACAGATGCTGTCTCACATCCTCTGACAGAGGCAGAGGCTAAATGCTGCAAAGCAGCATACAGAGCAAGATTTGGGGTAAACTTGATGGAAGACTTGGTGAAAGCGATGGAAGAAATTAGAACTGTTGCTTCTATAGCATGGCAAATTGTTTAAGAGATAATAAACAGCTCAACTGTGTAGTTGAGAAGACAGAGTTGAGAGCAGTGTTAGATTGTCTTTAACTCAGGGAGTGTAAATACAGCACCCATCTCAGATAGCCCTGCCATATCTGAATGAGAAGCTACTGTTATGAGCTGAGTGAAATGTTATGAAGGGTGAGATTGATAGGTGTGTGAATTCACCCTTCAGTTAACATAACTGTAAGCATAAGACCCACCTGCAAAAGGAATGTGTGAACCCAACCAGGAGTATTGTTTGGGGGGGGGGGTATGTATGTGTGAGACAGAGAGAGAGAGAGAGAGAGAGAGAGAGAGAGAGAGAGAGAGAGAGAGAAGGCAGAACACAAAGAAACTGAGAACAGACAAGAAAGACTGGAGAGAAAGAGAGACAGCTGAAAGCACAAGCTGAAAGCATGGTGGCTGACCCTGGAAGAAACTTGGAAGAGATTTTTGGGTCGGGGTGCCAGCTGAAAAGCCAACTCTTGGTGCTGTGGGCAAAAGAAGCTGTTTCTTGCTATTTGATTCCTTCTGTGTTCAGAGACACAGGACTTTGCAGATTCCTTGTAAATAAACACAATGGCATCAAAGAAAACATCAGACACTATCAGTTTCCACTTCCAACTGGAATATCCCACAGAACCCCCAACTTTGACTAGTCACTCGGGTCGAAAGGGCAACATTACTGTTTGTTAAAGGAGGGTTTACTGAGCAATCTACTTTATCCAAGCATCTCCAGCCATTGTAATGGTCAGAAAGTCTAATACAGACCTAAGTATCTGAGTTAACTATAGGACATTTAATAGCCAGACAGTTTAATAGTCACTAACTTCCTACCGCAGCTTCCTAGCACACCTGGGTAAGTGGAAAGGGTACTTTATTTTAGTAGTTTATATGGCATCCACCTACCATCATGCTGCAGTGGAAAAAGAAGATTGAGGGGAAATTGTTTTTGTGACACGGGAATGTTACAGTATCAGAGAACGTGGGCTCCCTCTGAACCTGGGATGGGTGTTCTGTCTATGGAACAGCTGCTGGGTGGTCCCATCACATCAGCAGCCTAGGGATTCCCTGCTGATTTCCTTTTGACTGAGTTTCTAGTGGTCTTTATCTCCATATTGCCTGCAAATGTCTTTTGACCAAAGAGCCTCTTGGGGGGAAGGAAGTAGTCTCCCCCATCTGATCCCAGATATAACATGAATAGTTTCCCTATGTGTTTCCTCCAGGTTTTAACCACTTCACCAGCATTCCCTGCTGCCGTTGGTATCAGCATCTTTTAAGGTAACAGAAGTTTCTACTACCACATTGACAATCTTGTGGAAGGTTTTCCCATTGTGGACTAGCTTCTGATAACTTTACTCTTTCTAAAGTACTGCACTCACTGGGGCTACTTGTGGAGAAAGATGTTACCCAGCATGAGTAAGGGCACCCTGGAATCAGCCTCTATGAACTGAGATCATGAACTTTCCCTGCTGAGCCAGTTATAAACCTCAGTTTGCCTTTTGGCAGAGCCCCCTTCCTAAATTGATGAGGGGGTGTAGCAGCTTCTGCTTCCCTTGGGTCATCTCCTATTTGGGGCAAAGGCAGGAGAAGCTCTGTAAGGCTCTGGCTACTCTGGGGAGCTTACAAAAAGTCCCACAGACCCTAACATTGTCTTTAAATGAACTGTCATTAAGCCAGTGGGAGCCCCAGTGAAGACAATTCTCTGGCAGCCAGACTTGTGTTGCTACCACTTTAGTTACTCCTACTGAACAGAAAGCCTACAGGAGGCAAGGGTAAAAAGGGATCCAGCCACCAGAACCTCATCAGCACTAGGATTCTCAATGGCTTTAGCACAGCTTCAGTGGAACCAGTTTTAGTTCAGTCCCATTACAGAGAGTTCCTGGGACGGGGTCTGTATTTTCCCAAAGTTCAGAGGGATCCATATTGGGCATTCTGGTTCAGGCTTTTCTCTAAGAGAAAATCAGTGGCACATCAGACTGTGTACAGAGGGTCTAGGTCACCAATTGGCAGCCTCACCCCAGGCCAGGCTGTCCCGATTCGAGGTAATGTTTATCAGGGATCACTTTTAAACACATATAATCTGACCCTGGATCCAAATCACCTAGTTCCACCTCTATAAAGATCTTGGATTTTAAACGTATTATATTTAATTCTGTTTAAAACAATTGTTTTGTTTCGGTGCTTTGACACTGACCCAGCAACATGAACTTCCCAGTGAAACCAAGCTACAAAAAGTCTGAATTTCGACTCATTTGGGCCTGCTTTTGTTATCCTTCCTGACATGGAGCAGTATTTTATGCCAGTGAAATCAATGGAACTATCCCTCATCATGAGCAATGGGATCAGGACATGTTGCTTTCCAAATACAAGAATAAAACCATCATCCAGTAAGAGCAGAGGCTGGGACAACGTCACGCCCTTTATCGGCATATAGTAAAACATCACTGAAAACAAAGCAGAACCTTCCAAGGTTTCCAGTGAAACTCTGAGATGCTGGCCAGATTTTGTACTGCTTCTGGATTAGCTGGTACATTAATTATTTTCTAAAAACATTCCCTGTGGGATTTTCAGCTTGCAAATGCTGCTGTCTGCCATGCTGTCAATATTAGTAGGGCATGCCTGGAGAGATTTCTTTGCCCTGCAGGTCCCCTATGGAGAGTGTGAAGAGGAATGCACAGCCTCAGATTGCACCAGCATTTCTGCTGCTCTCCCTGTAAAATTAGAGCTACCAGGAATCTTGGCATAAATCAAGCAGAAATGCTGGCATGGTAATCCTGCCGGCAAAACGTCTCAACCCCTACACTTCTGCTAAGACACTGCTGGGCACTGGACCCTGGAGGTGGTAAGAATACATTTTCCATACTAAAAGGCTCTGTTTATGCTGCTGAGATGTCCTGGGTCAGATTAAGTCATATAAAAAGAGAGCTTTGTGTATTCCATGCAGCACTAACCTATTCCGTCTGCTGCCAGAATACTGTATTGTCTAGTTAAGAAATGTCCTCGAGGGGTCTGATCTACCATTATGAGTAGAGTCCCATGCTGGTGGGGCAACAGCAGAGCTGGAAACATTAACTGATTTCAGAGAACAACAAATTGATGCTCATAACTGACAAGAGACTTCAACTAATCATCCTGACTGAAGGGCAATTTGGGCCAGCCATTGTTCTGTCTTATAGTGCATGAAAGCTAAGGGTTCTGAGGCTAAATGTAATCCCATGGAGAGTTTAGCTGTTGAACCCTTGCTTGTGTCAAATGGGCTGGACATGCAGGGGACTGACATGGCCGCCTTCTCTTCTAATTCTGTCCCTGGCCCTGCGCTCTCCCAGGAACGGGCCGTGAGCACTCTGCCTCAGCCCCACAGCCAGGTGGATGAGGGATTTCCAGGTGAGTGATGTCTTCTGTTTCCAGTTATGACATCTGAGAGGCTTCCCTCTGGAAGCCAGAGAGTAGGAGAGAGTGAAACGCCAGGAGGGGCTGAGTGGCAACTTTCTGAACAGTAGAGAGACAGGTAAAAAACCCAGCTACCAGGGATTTTAGGGTAGGCAGCTCTTGATCCTGCATCAGAGTTTTCTGGTTAATCAGACTTCTCCTATCTCTATAGTAAACACCAGAGAAAGTTATCTGGGCAGCGAGTCCTAGCAGAAGAGGATGAAGTTCCAAAATGCCCTTCTCATCACACAGCAGAACAGCTGATGGGCTCAAGTTACAGAACAGGTGAGTGAGAAGCCTATGGTTAGGAGAAGGAGTGCAGACAAGGAGGAGAAGGAAGAAGGAGAGGGACAGTGAAGTGACAAGGAGAGTAAAGGAGGCTAGGAGTATAATATTAGCAACAGCAGCTGCTGGCAACTGGCTTCTAGAAAAAGAGGGAGTAGGTGACACGTTCCTTCCCTGACATTCCATCTGGGACATAAGGAAAGAGATCCCAGGATGAAGAAAGCTTAGTTCAGCTTTGATGTCTGACTGTGGATGCTGTTAATGGATGGTATACCTACACTGTAACTTATCCAAGCCTTTAACATACACTTGACCATATTGAATAGAGGGAAAATACCTGTTATACTACCAGGCCACTTCCCAAGTGGCAGAGTAGATTGGTCCCTGTAGTATATTTTTTAATGTTTGCTGCAGTCTAGTTTTTACAGTGGCAAGCAATGGGGCCCCTATCACTAGTTTTTACAGTGGCAAGCAATGGGGCCCCTGGGAGACTCATCCACAGCCTTATACTTCACGCTACCAGGCAGCATCTCCTGGTATTCAGCTTAAATGTTTCCTTATTTAACTTCACATCATTATACTCATTGTATCACCAAAGAATTTAATGCCCATGCCACTTAGTCATCACTTTGCCAAGCTGGACAGATTTCTCTCTTTCCCTCTAAATCAGTCCCTCTGGTTTTGCTCTCTTCAGAATTCCCTCATTTGTCACAATCTTTCTGGAAGGTCATGCCTAGTACTGAATTTAATATTCCATTTGAGGCCACACCAAAGTTGCATAGTGAAGGACTCATAGCCTCCCAATTCATGAAGGATGTTTCATAGATTCAGTTTCCAAGGCCAGAAGGAACCATTGTGATTATCTAGTCTGACTCCCTATAGGCCATAGAATCTCCCCAAAATAATTCCTTTTTGAAGTAGAGCAGATCTTTTAGAAAAATATCTAATCTTGATTGAAAAATTGCCAATAATGGGAAATCCACCAGAGCCCTTGGTAAGTTGTTCCAATGTTTCATTGGCAAGATGCATCTCATTTTATTAGTTTCTGCCCATGGTTCTCCCCTGGCTAGGCCCCTTGGATTGTTTGTTGCTTGGAGCTACAAAATGAAAATTAGTTATTGGGTGCTATATACTCAACTTTAACCCCTGGAATGCCAAGAGAAAGTACACATTCAGAAACCACATTCGTTTCCAAACGCACCAGTCATCTGAAGGCAGGTGATGGGCACAAAATAAAGGGTCAGAGAGACAGTATAGCCTAAGACCCAGATGAATCCACTTGCCCAGATGTAGAGAACCCCATGGGCAGATGTTCCCAAAGATTCCTCTAGGTTACTGGGTTCTCTCAGTTACACATTTTGCCCTTCAACTTTGCCCATTAGGGACATAATTCAGTAATCTCTTCTTATACTGAATAGCATTTACTCACACCAGTATCCCTATTGACTTCAAAGGGACTACTCACATGTGTGAATGCTACCAAATATGAGTAGGTAAAGTCAGACTTCAACAGCTTGACAAACCTTTCTTTCTTTCTTTCTTTCTTTCTTTTATGCATGAGAGAGAAATCAGCTCTTGCAGCAGGTAGGTTTGCTGAGGTACTAGCACACTGTTTAGGCAGTGTATGGAGAACTGAATAATTGGATTTGGCTTTGTAGACTGGAAGCCTCTGAATGAAAATGTCTTTCTGCAGCCCAGGGGCATTTTGTGAAATTCTGGTGATATTAGTGGGAATGATGCTTTGGTGCATCCGTAAATACACACCACTCTCTCTTGTTGATACTGTTTAAAAGCCTCTGCAGTGCAAATGGTGCAGCAGCTTTGGGTGCAGCACATTAGCCGCATCTATTTTAAACCTTCTCCCAGTGATGTTCCTTTATGGCCATTATGGACCAATGTTTTCTCAAGATCAGTTACCTTTCCATCAGCACTTACCAGCTGACGCACAGCCTGAGTCCAGAAATAGTGTGTTGATGCAAAGTGACTCTTGTCCTCCATGTATGGCAGCAAATCACAAACTGAGGAGAAATTAATTTTCCATTCCCCTCTCATTAATGTTTCACTTTGATCCTGATAATCCATCATGCTTTATGAGATCCTCCATTCAATGGCACTACCAGCTCAGCACAGCAAAACACATGGGACTAGTGTGAATTTTCTAAAGATGACATTTACCATAAAATACCTTGACTGAGATTTTTAGCTAAAGTTAGTGAAACTACAATGTTTATATTTTCCAAGTTAAAAATTAGAATGAATTTCTTCTAAAACAATCACATTCTGAAAAATAAAAGAGCCTACATTTTTCCAAGCAGATTTCAAGATCATTTAAAAGTTAAGTCACATATCTGCCAGTTCATCAACTCCAGATGGTCACTGAAACTTTATCCAAAGTTAATATAAATTAAATTGTTTTAAAATATATTCCGCAAACTGTAATCAGTATCTTTTGTATTCAACTAATTAAATAAATATACTCCTGAAATTAGAACTATTTCCTCACTAGGAATTTTTACAGATTCACAACAGCAACACATACAGAACACTCCAAGATTAACACTCCCTGGGAACAAAACGTCCTTATTATTTGGAATTATCAGGCATAGTGAGACATTTACAGCCTCCCACAAACAGGAACAATGGTACCATTCAGGACTGAGATCTGGCTGTCAAATATTGTCACCAGTGTCTAAATAGATGTGAACTTCATCATTACCTTCTTTTTGCTATGTTTTTCCTTAGACAAAAAGCAAACCTGTACATTCCAAGAGGATTAGTCTTATTTTAGATTCAGGGGAAACAACAAAGCAAGAAAAAACGTGTATAAAGTCTCTGTGAGAGAGTACAGTGTGTGTGACTCACTCTGTTATAGCAGCCATCTTAAACAGACTCAGTGGGTAGTGTCCCTACAGACCGGCTAGTGTGTCTACTTTATACTTAAAGTGAAGTTCATAGAAAATAGCCTTATAGTTAAACAGCTAAACACACCACACATCACAACAAGTTCAGTAGCAGCCCTACAAATTTCACAGCTATAGATGAAAGCTAAATCTAATGTAATTTGGTATGAAAGGTATGGAAAACATGTCTTACGATAAGAAGCTAAAGAAACATAATCCATTTAGGTGATAAAAGAGAAGTTTAAGGGTCTAGTTGACCATGGTTTATAAGTACCTACATAGGAAGATGATATCTGACACTCTTTAATCTAACAGACACTAAGGTATAATCCACTGACAGCAAGTTGAAGTCATCAAAGTGTACACTGGAAATAAGATGCACATTTTTAACAGTGAATGTAATTAACCATCAAACAGACTATCAAGGGAAGTGGTAAATTCTCCCGTTACTTGGAGTCCAGCACTAATACAAGTAAGGGGTATTTTTATAATACAATTTGACTTGTATTTTGAGTAATTGGCCTGGTATCACTTGAACAAATACATTAGCAATGCTTGGTGGCAATATCCTTCTCACTACAGTAAGCGGGCATGGGTGGGGGGGCTCCACGTTAAAAAAAATTATTAAAGTGGAGCATGATTCAGAAGAGGCTGGGAACTCCTGAATTAGAGCAGATTGTTTAGAACAACAGCCAATATTGATTTAAAAGTTGCACTGATGAAGAATCCACCATGACCCTTGTTCGCAGAGACTGCCGACTTGATCATGTCCCCTTCAGAATCTAGCTAGACAAGGAGGAGGTGGCACCAGCCACACTCTAACTTTTAGCCCAGCAGTTAGAGCACTCACTGGGGATGTGGGGGACCATGTTCAGTTACCCCCTTGCCAGAAAGGGAGAAAGGATTCGAACAGGGGTCACCCACATCTCTGAGGTGAGTGCTCAAACCACTGAGCTGTAGGGCACTCTGACATGGGAGCTCCCTCAACCCCCCCTGTTGATGTGATTCCACTGTGGATAAATGATGGAAGCATCACTGGGGCAGCGAAGGGGGAAATAACTCTGTAGCCTGGTGATTAGGGCCCCCAATAGGAGGTGGGGGACCAACAGGCCAGTCCGTTGCTCCACCGACTCTTTAATTGTTTATCCCCAGTGGAACTGCTTCAACAGGAGAGATTGCTATCTCATAGCTCCGTGGTTAGCACATGCTCGTGTGAGCCCCTGTTCCAATCCTTTCTCTCCTTCAGCAGAGGAGGGAATTGAACTTGGGTTTCCTAGACACCAGGTGAGCCTGCTAACCATGAGTCAAATGTTATAAAGTGGGTTCCACCTCCAGATGTTTTGTGTGGAGCTAGGCCCCTCCCTAGCTTAGTCTCACAGCCTAAGCTACCTGACTCCAAGAGAATCATTCTCATTTGCGAATCACTAGCAGACATTGGCACCTCCCTGCAGCCTGGCCTTCCTGAGAGGCGGGGCTTAGATTGCCATTCAGAACAACCACACTAGGCAGGGAGCTACCTAGGCTAGCCAATAGGAGATGCCGATGAGAAGGATGTGTGTTAAGGCCAGGGCCGGCTCTGGCTTTTTGCCGCCCTGGGCAAAAAAGCCTCCCGCCGCTCCCCTTCCCCGCCCCCGGCAGGGAGCGCTGCGGGGAGGGCGGAGAGCCTGGCCAGGGCCCCGCTCTCCCCGACCGGCCGGAGCGCCAGGGGAGGGCAGCGAGCCCGCCACGGCTCCGCTCTCCCCGACCGGCCGGAGCGCCGGGGGAGGGCGGCGAGCCCGCCGCGGCTCCACTCTCCCCTGCGGCTGGAGCGCCGGGGGAAGGGCGGAGAGTCCGGCCGGGGCCCTGCTCTCCCCGGCCGGCCGGAGCGCCAGTGGAGGGTGGCGAGCCCGGCCGCGGCCCCGCTCTCCCCGGGTGAGCACCGCCCCCCTCCAGGTGCCACCCCAAGCACATGCTTGGAGGGCTGGTGCCTGGAGCCGGCCCTGGCTAAGGCACCCTGTCTCTCCTCACACATTGCATAGGGAACCCAGGCTCCTAACTCAGGCTTTGTGAATTGCAGTGCTTTCCTGTGATTTTCTAGGTGCCTAAAAGTTAGGTGCTGCA